ATTATCTAAGTCAGAAGTATGTAGAAGTAATTTCCGAGTTTCGTTGCAATTGGTCGAACGTCCTAGACGTACATAGCGAACAAACAAACATCTTTATTCATATAAATATATATAGTTAGGTAGATTTATAAAAAAAAAATTAAATGTTTATTTTTATTTAAAAAATCTTTTCATATTTTTAACTATTATAAAATGGCAAAAATGCCTAATTTTGAGGGTAGATATAAGTTTTATGAAAAATTATAAATGCTAATAACCAATAAAATCTCCATTAAGTCCGATCCTACTGGAGATAACACACATGACTTCTTCTCTATCGCCCCAATCTGTCGATCTTTAACCACCAAAATTTAATAGCATCAATCCTGGTAATACAGAAACCTCCTTGAAAAATTTCAGAAATTTTTGACAAACAGCCAGGAGTTATTAAGATTGAAAGAGGGTGAACAAAATCGCGCTCACACATATATGCCCACTAACATCCATTCATACAGGAAAAAAAACTCTAAATTTTTTGCATTTCTCGACGTTTCAAGGATCCGACTCCGAAAATGTAAAAATTTAGGGGATTATTTCAAACACACCAAGGATTTTCTTTCTTTCTTTTTTCTTTGACTTTTCGAGTTTAGGGGAGTCTTAAAATGTCGAGACTTGGAAAAATCCCGGAGAATCAAATTTGAAATTATAACATAAAATTTTGATGATATATTTAAATATGCTTTAATACAATTAAGTATTCGCTGATAATTTAGGCTTTTCAGACTTATTTAAGGCACATATTTAATACAAGATTAACTATCAAATTTATAAAATACTAGCATATATGCCCGGTGTTGCCCGGGCAAAAAAATAAGAACAAACATTAAGATTACTAGATTTTTTCTCATTTCTAACCCTTCTATTATATTACATTATAGTATTTGGTTTATATAACTACAAAAATTTTTTTACATAAGAGTTTAACACATCGAGTGACCAATCTAATACATCTTGAAAATTCTTTAAATTGTGTACATTAGAGGAATAAAGAATTTTTAAAATGTGTTAGATTGGTTTCTCGGTGTGATAAACCCTTACCTTTGATAACCTTTGTTGTTATATAAATCAAATACTATAATATAATAAACATTAAAATGAAAACCATATAAGCTTCTAACCTTAACGTCCTGAAGACTTCATATAAAACGTGTTTAAATAAAAAAAAAGTCTTGTAAACATGCAAGAATAATTGCTTTTATTTGATTTAATAAATAAAAAACACTGGTGANTTTAAAACATTTTTTTTTTGTATTATTCTTAATTACAAATTTTAAAAGTTTTATTGGAAATTTAGCCTTCAATTTCTTTAAAAATCATAGTTATTTTTCGTGTTTTTGCATTCATTTAGGGATTATATAAGTTAAATTATACTAAACGATGTTGTGTAGTGTCTACTGTTTAGTATACAATATCCAGACAGTATTTCATAACTTAACTACATTAATATTTTATTTTGTAATTACATTTATGGGTTATATTGCAGAGCGATAGTCTAATTCAGCAAAGTTGTTGAAGGTCAAACGATTGTGAAAGACGATAGTAACATAAAACTGGCAAATCTGATGACGTATTGTTACGAGAATCATGCCAAAATGATATTAAAATAAATATAAATCATTCCTTTCATTGGTTCTAACTGGACAGCATTAAAAGGAAGCTGTCTATTCTGTTTAAACTATTCTATCCTATTCTATTAAGCTGTCTGTCTGTTTAATTCTAAGCAAGAAACTTCATTAGTTTCATTCATTATACAGAAATTCTTCTATAAGTATGATGGTCTCATTAGAAAGACAACTCTTTTCATGATTTAATGCTGTCAACGCAAATTCTAATCAGGAAATTTTATTTGTTTCGATTATTTTTAAACAGGAACCCTTCAATGACAATAAAGGATTCTGTAAATTATTCTTTTTATTAGAAGTTCTCATTACACAACATTAGAAGCATCTCTCCATGTTCTACTGCTGTTCAATGTTAATTTAATGCTGTAATACTTTAAACAATTTGTTTAATTTGTTATGCAGAAATTATTCTATAAGTACAAAAGATTCTGTACATTCTTCCTTTTATTAGAGGCTCTCATTAGGAAGGCATGATTTAATGCTGTCTACATTAATTCTAATCAAGGAATTTTATTTGTTTCATTTATTTTTAAATAGAAGTCCTTTAATGATAATGAAGGATTCTGTAAATTATCCTTTTTATTAGTTCTCATTAGACAGCATTACATTAAGAAGCAATTCTCCACATTCTACTGCTATTCAATCTTAATTTAATGCTGTCTACTTAAATTTTAAGCAAGAAATTTGATTTGATTCATTTATTTCTTATACAGTAATCATATGAGTGAATGCAGGACTCATTATTTAAAATAAAAATTTTATAATTTTCAAATGTATGCATCATTTAAGCTTATGCTCTAATTAAGAAACTACAAAAAGAAATTAATTTAAAAAATAATTTTTCTATCAAGGAAACTAATTAAAAAAAAAAATTAATTTATATTCTAATTATTTTATTCATTTTTAAAATAATAATAATAATAATTTTTTTAGTTTCATTTCATGTGAAAATTCTGAATGAAACAAAGCTTATTAATAAAATTTAAATTATTTATTTAA